GCCGTGGTGACTGGTCGCCCTGAACTCGCGCTGGACCGTGACCTGCGCGGGTGCTCTTGTTCTCGATCCCTCCTCCTCCTCCTTGTCCGTGTGTTCATCTAGTGTGGCACACACATCTTCGCTCTAGCAACGACCCGCAACCGGGTTCCTTTCTGTTCCTTTGTGGTGTGCTTTGAGAGAAGACGTGTCACGGAGGGTGGACTCCGCTGTCTCCTGGCGCTGTTATGCTGGAGAGGCGATGAAAGATTCAGTCTATATGCACCATGCTGGGGACGCGAGACACAGGATGGAGTAAGACCGGTCGTGTTGTACAGGGTTTCAAAGTCTACAGCATGTATATGTACCAGTGTACTCATGAAATATGATGACACTCTACGGAGTGTATCGGAACTGATAACACAAATGATCAGCGAGTGTGAAAGAAAGCACAACAGAACGGTATAAGCACCCACATGCCGATTCTCAGAAACCGACTTATCGAGCTTGCCGTTCAGCTTCCACTGCGCGATGCGCTCTTTTTCGGTAACACCCACGGCAGCCGCCTCACGCTCCCACCACCGATTGCGCAGTACGTAGATCGTGCGCCACGCTGATGAGGATCTGGTGAGATGTCCACACAGATGATGGTTGAGTGGTACTTGAGAAGACGTACTGAGGATGACGAGACAGTTAGGAGTGAGGCAGACGCTGCAGCTTACGATGCCTGACATGTATTGCGGTGTGTCTTGCGGCTTGAAGAACTGGGAGCTGACCTGCGCGGTGCGTTTAGCATTTCGATGTGTGGTGAGACGAGTTAGGGTTGGGATCACCATGTTGCCGTCGGCCGACACAGTACGTCACGAAAGTGAAGGAGGATGTGACTGTGCGTTTGGCACACCCGGGAAAGTTGCTTGGGATGTGCGTCCAGTCGAGGAACACTACAGCTTCTTGAATACGACACGTGACAACAGAGAGATCACGTACGTGCGAGGACTAAGGGGAAGGTCTGCAGCGGTATGAGTAGGTGTTGATGTCGCTAGTAGACGACTAGGACTCACCATGTAGAACATGCCCCACTTCGTCCACTGTGTGCGCGCGGAAGTCAGGACTCGTCATGATCAAGATCATCGCGCCGCTTACCTTCGTATGCGGAGTGGTAAGGATGAGAGACATGCCGTTCAACCTGATGAACACCGAAACAGTCGCGACAGCCATGATCCCCAGATGCAGACCCTGCCACCGCATTGTGCTGAATCCAACGATCAAGAGCAAGAGCACAAATGTGCAGCTTATCGGGATGTTAAGCGAGATGACCTGAAGGTTCGCTATGCAGTACGAAAGATCAATCCCATCGCTAGTCCCGTACGGTCGTTCCCGGACTGGTTTCTGACGATGCAGGCGTATCAAATCAGAGTCCCTTCCAAAGGAGAAAAAAGTATGCAGTCTTACCGAGTACATTCAAGCCAGTATGCTGACTCCTTTTGTCGCAAATGGAGACAAAGGTGAAGAAGGTACGTTTGTCCTTCAAGTGGCACGGGCAGCACGGTCGCCGCTAGCGGGCCTAAGCTGCACGAGCCTTCCCAGCCCTCTAGACAAAGGAGAGTCGT